GTATTAACCCTTCACGTGATCTTGATTCTATCCCTCTGTTTATGTAGCCTAGAACTGTGTTGGCTTTTTTTGGCAGCTGCTGTACACTGCTGGCTCCTGTTTAAATGGTTGTCCACTAGGACCCCAAGATCCCTCTCACAGTTACTACTATTGAGCAAGGTACCACCTACACTGTACCTGTGCATTTCGTTGTTCTTGCCTAAATGTAGAACCTTACTCTTTTCACCATTGAATTTCATTTTGTTACACAGCGCCCAATGTTTAAGTCTGTCAAGATCCTTCTGTATCTTAAGCCTTGTTATTAACCCATGGTTGTGCCCTCTCTTGTCTCTGACACATACATCTATGCTGTCTTTCAGCCTGTTCTAAACTTCCTTGGTGACTGTTTTTATCTCAATCTTTCCTTGGAAAGTATCTCCATGAAGTGCTGTAGTAGAACTTCAGCCATCAACAGATACATAAAAATAAACACCATTTATTCATCATTCAAAAGAGATAATAAAAAAAGCTAAGAAAGAAACAACGACCAGGACAGATTTTCTTCAGCAACCAATACCCAGAGCAGCAGGGATTAACACCAGACAAACTATCATAGAAAATAATCAAGGCACTACCAAAAAGAAAGCAACACCCCACCAACACTGGCAGTGCAACTGTATAGAAATAAGGAACAAACCCCACACTCACCAGTACTGAAGATGTGACCTATGCAGATAGAGAAACATCTGCAAACAAGCAAACAAGCTGAGAGAACAACAAGGACAGCACAACTTCTCTAGACTGGATGTTCTACTCCAAAAGCTTGCAAAAGCATTGAATTAGAGACATCCAGTCTTCCTGATATGAATTTTCATCAGAAAGTTATTTCCAGGACAAATTGCTGAGCTCTTGGGACATATAAATAAACATTGCAACCAATGGAAACTCTTTTCAGTCTCACAAGTAGACTTTGTTTTTCCATGCTGACGGTTGAGTCAGAAAGCAAGACTTGACCAACTGAGTGGTAGTTCTAAGATGCCAGGGATGGTTTGGCAAGAGGAAAAGAGAGGCTAAAATTCCTGGAGACTGCCTGATGTGGCAAGAGTTTGAGATGGGGAGGGCAAAAGAGAGAGCTCAAAACAACACCAGTTTCTACAAGATTACAAAATGAACATTGCTCTTCCCAACCACTGCTTTGATGCTGTTGGAGGCGGTGCATTTCTACAGAATTATTTTCCCTACTCCGTGGTATTAGGAGAGAGTTCAGGTCTTATGACTTGGCATAATTTTTACGGAGCCAGAGTTTCAACGCCTGGGATATCAGCCCAGAGTTGCGAGCTTGAAGAACACTAATTACAGTTTTTATATCCAGTCCTTTCTGGCAACTGTAAACAGTTCAGCATGGGGAAGCATAAGGCCCTGGGGAAATAGAATTACTAGAAGTGTGTTTTGTTGAGCAATCATTTCTCAGTCTTTGCATCATAGTTGTTTGTGCCTTCTTGTCTCTTGCTTCTACATCACTGCAATTGCCCTCCTGTTCATACCCAAAAGAGCTGAGAAGTTTAGAGACACTGGAACACTTTGGAAAGAAGGAAGCAAACCATTTTAGTCTAGAAATGTAGCCATCTAAGACAGTGATCTTCAACCTTGGGGACTTTCAAACTTGTGGACTTTTAACTCCCAGCATGCGCTAGCTGAGGAATTCTGGGAGTTGAAGTCCACAAGTCATAAAGTTGTCAAGGTTGGAGACCCCTGATTTAAGAAGTACTGTGGCTGTTTCAGAAATGAACTTGAGGGACACTTATTTCTCCTATCGCAGGGAGGTTCAATCTTGGGCAACTTTAAGACTTGTGGACTTCAACCCACAGAATTCTGGGAGTTGAAGTCCACAAATCTTGAAGTTGTAAGGGTTGGTCAGCCCTGTCCTATGGGATATTGCTTTTATTAACATGGCGGCCTTCCTGATCATTACATAAGAACTTACATGAATTCATATTTTTGCAGTTTTCTCTACATATTTTGAAAAATGGCTGTAGTCAGCCACAGTCTGGACCTCCAGCTAGAAATTCTACAATATGGACACCATGGACCATGGAGGTGTTTTATGGAATTTACTATAATCTGATATTCTGCAAATGAGTTGAGACTGTAATTGTCAAATTTGTTCGTTTCTGTGCCTAGTTGTGAGAATTGCAGCCTAAAACTTGTGGTTGTTTGGTCAAAGGAAGCAGATCTAGTAGACCTTAGTGTCCCTGAGGTAGCACTTTCCAAAGGTGTAAGTCACCTAGAGCGCTGGGGACAATGGTAATTGTAGTCCAGCATTTCTACAGAGATCAGATTGGAAGATTGCTCAGAAATTAAATCTACCAATTCTCTCACTGATTGAGTCTCAGGTGCCTTCTTCATTAAGCAAATTTTAAACCACTATTTATTAGATTAGCACAATAGATTCAATCAAATGCCAAGAGATTCTTACAAAAGCCAAATATATACCGATACATTATGTCTAACAGGTAAATTATGCAACAGTGTCAGATTCTATTTCATCTCTTTACAAACATTGAAATCACGGCTGTTTTATGCATAACGAAGAATTTTTCATCAAAAGCAATCAACAATAAAATGTTTTTAGGCAATAAGATTTACATATAATATGAAATATGGACAACCTGCAGCAGTTTTATATTCTGTGTAAGCTGACAAAGTCAAGGATTGCAAAAAAATGGAAAATGAATGAATGAATAAATAAGAACAGAATAGAATTTTGACGCCATTGTCTAAATTAATGGCCTATTGCTTAAACAGGACAATAGGTTATTAATTTGACGTTAGGCACCTATATTGATACCTGATTTATTAACCATACAGATAGACCTAGAGTTACAAAACATTTTTTCAAAGTTTCAATGACACAGAAATTGAGTTATAACCATCCTCGCACTTATGATCATCACAGTATTCCAATTGTCACAGATCAAAATTCAGGTGCTTTACACCTGCATGTATTTATAATGGTTACAGCATCCTGGGATCACATGATAATGATTTGGGACCCTTCCAGCCAGCTTCCAATTCACTTAACAACCACACAATTCACTTAATGACTGCAGTGATCTGCTTAACAACTGCAGCAAAAAAGGTCATAAGATCAGGTGCAATGGATTGCTTTTCAAATGGAAATTCCAGCCCCAACTGTGGTCGTAAGTCGAGAACTATCTGTATGGGGGAATCAGTCACTATCTTGTTCCCAGGCAACTAGAGGACATAATAAGGATAAACTGGAACAGATGATAAAGTTTAGGAAGACAATAATAGACTGAGTGACGGATCATTTAGTCCAGCTTCTAGCTCAGGGATGGCGAACCTCTGGCACACGTGCCAGATGTGGCATGCAGAGCCCTCTCTGTGGGCACATGTGCCCTCGCCAGCTGTTCTTCTGGTTTTGTGGGCACACTTGCATGCCAGCCAGCTGGTCTTGTGGACACTGGAGCACCAAAAAACGGCCCCCCAAAACAGCCACAAAGAGGCCAGTTTTGGGTGTTTTCAGGCCAGTTTTGGACTGTTTTCAGGCTATTTTTCAGCCTGTTTTTGTCCTGACAAATGGCCCCAAACAGCTGGAAAATGGCCCGGAAAATGGCCTGAAAACCATCTGAAAACAGCCATAGAACCAGCCAAAAATGACCAAAAAACCAGGCACATGTGTGCAGGCCGGCTGGTCTTCGTGTTTTCAGTGCTCTGGGATACGCACATGCATGCATGTTCCGGTTTGGGCACTTGCTGCCAAAAAGGTTCACCATCACTGTTCTAGTTGAAGCAGAGAACCAATTCCTGAAACTTTAAAAAAAAAAACGGTCCTGGGGGGGAGGTGGGGAGGAAATATGCAATTTTCTTTGTCAGGGTTAGCGTCTATTGGGAAATATCCCATAGGCCAAAGTCTTCCAGACCCTCCAGACCACAGTTCCCATCGTTGCCATCAGCATGACAACAGCTCCCCTCCAACGGAGGAAGATATCGCCACGCAGCTGTTCCAAACCCGTTTCCAGCATCCTAGCCTGAGGTTGCTTCAAATTGTGCGCCTCAATGTTCCCCATGCACACACGTACAAAAAAAGCACGCCTCGGGTAGCTATAATTCCGGCAATTTTTGTTTCCTACCCGGGGAAACCCCGAGAGATTTGCTGCGAAAGCCACAGGTGTTACCTTACCCTGGAGTGCTGGGAGGCACGGACAATGCCTTGTTCCTCTCTCCTGGATCTGTCTCAGTGACTCGGAGGCCCAAGCTCCTGGAAGATCTTGGAAGTTCTAACTGGTGTGAGCAGGTTAGCGTAATTTATATGTACTCCATTCACCCATGTGATCTGAGCAGATGCCATCGGGCTGAGAATTTTTTTTTTTCCCAGGAGACGGGAAGGAGAAAAAAAAACCGGCTGGGAACTAAAACCTGTTCAACCACAGTTGTGGCTTATGCTCAATAGAAAGGAATTTTCCACTAATAGGACTACACATGCATGTGCAACCTGTCCGGCTGTCTGAACAGATGATGGCAGACAGGATTCAAGGTTAGGCAGAAAAAAGGAGGAACAATGTTCCACTTCGTTAGGTGTAATTTTTTTTTAAAAAAAACAAGGTTTTTATTTTTTATTACAACTTTAAAAATCTTTTGTAAACAAAGTGTTGTCCCGGTTTTTCCCTTTAATATCCTCTCATATACATAATTCATTTTACATCATAATTCTATTTCCAATTTCAGACATATTATTTTCTTTCCATATTTTTCATCTTCAACTTATTTTTTTCTTCATACATAAACAGTATCATTAATTGCCCCTTCAAAATTAAACCAAATTATCATTTCATATTCCATTGGTTAGTCTATTTTACTAGAAGTAGCATACATCCTCGAATTCAGGTTTTACATAATAAGCATTTAATTTAATTAATTATCCACAATTAATACTGTTAATATAATTCCCTTATATCTTAGTTACCTACATACCATTAACAATATTAACACATTTAACTTTAATCTACTAATATATCCCTTCTTTCCCTTCCTCCTTCTCTAACCATGTTCTCCTGGTCTCTCAAAATGTTTGTTAGGTGTAATGTTTGAATACAGCTTCCTGAGCATTTCTGTTGCCATGAAAGCATTTATTTCTGGTGCTCGCCGATGGGCGCACAAAGCTGAATAGACAACAATTGTCGAGGCGTTCTTGGTGTCAAATGAAAGATGCAAAAAATAATGCAATGCTCTCCATATTTTGCATTTGGTGAAGTCTTTATCTGGGAAATGTTCTCCCATATACAACCTGCACAGTTGTAATATACAATTTTTCCTCCACTCGGTGCAGGATTTTTTTTACCCTTTCTTAGCACAAGATTTACAGGTAATCCTTGAATTATGGCCCTTGGTTTTGCAATGGTTCAAAGTTAGAACAGCACTGGAAAAAATGACTTACAACCAGTCCTCGCACATACAACCATCACAGCATCTCCCTAGTCGCACGATCAAAATTCGCGGACTTGCTAATGGGCAATGAAGTTACAATGGCTGCAGCATCCTGGAAGACATTTGATTACCATTTGTGACCTTCCAAGCTATGTCTGATAAGCAATCAAGGAAAGGAAGCCAGATTCATTTAATGACAATGTGTTTAACAAACTTTGGTGATTCACTTAGCAACCCTGGAGAAAAAAAGACCTAAAATAAATTGTGTGACTCACCTAACAACTGCCTTGCTTAGCGATGAAAATTCTGGTTCCAGTTGTAAGGCAAGGACCACCCTTGGAATACCACATGCAGTTTTGGTTGCCACGATGTTAAAAAGATGTTGAGACTCTAGAAGAGTGTTGGCGAACCTTTTTTGCATCGAGTGCCGAAAAAGGAGCACACGTGTTTCAAGTTTCGAGTTTCAAGTTTAATAAAATTTTATGCTGCCCACTCCCATTGGGACTCTGGGCGGCTCAAAGCAAGATAAAAGAAACATTTAAAATTTAAGAATAAAAAATACAATTAAAAGTCCACATCATCCATTCCATCTAAGCGGGGCAGAATATCAATCAACAGCCCCAGGCCTGCCAGAACAGCCAGGTCTTGACGGCTTTAGGGAAGGCTGGGAGAATAGTAAGGGTCCAGATCTCTATGGGTAGATCGTTCCACAGGGCCAGCGCAGCGACAGAGAAGGCCCTCCCCGGGGGGCCGCCAGCCGGCATTGTCCGGTTGACGGCACCCGGAGGAGGCCCAAGCTGTGTGATCTTGTTGGTCGTTGGGAAGTAAGTGGCAGGAGGCGGTCTCTCAGGTAGCCAGATCCTAAACCATGTAATTGAAAG